GATACATTAAAAGCACAAATTCAATTACTTGAAGTAATAAAATAATTATGTGATCCTAGAGGCAGTAAAGCAAAGAGCGTTATTGCTATTTTCATATAATTGGTAATGATTGGGTCTGTTTTAATGATGCAACAATTTACTTAATTTTTAAATTCATTGTTTGATGAAAGTTGTGAATTGCTATAACTAGAGCGTCCATAAAATTAAAGAGTTGATCTTAATTAAGCTAGAATTTAGAAATATTTTACGAGTATAATTCCTTTATGATAAGAAATTTCATCAAAAATGCTTAAAATCAATGGATTAAACAAAATCGACATTTTCCCTGTCTCGAAAAATTATATAGGTCTATTTTTTAATAATATTATTCAAATGACCAATAATTTCCGCAAATCTAATTCTAATAGATATTTCTCTTATTCTCTGGTTGTTTAGAAAGATATCGTTTGAATTAATCATATTTTTTAATATAATAAGGTAAAATGATAATTATATAAGTTTTTTCTAATGGTGTCTGAATTAATACTTTTAATGTTTTAAGAATTATAATAAATACACCCTAATTTATTTTCAATAACTTCTAATTTAAATAGGAAAAGTTCCCTACTCTGCTTAATTTATTGAATTAAATTCCTACAATTATTCAATCAATTAATTTTTTAATATTTTACCAGACACCAGAGTTACTCAAGCCGAAATTACATTAAAATTTTGAATACTTCTAATTGAATAGAAATTTAATTAAATCACACAATAATATATATATATTATTTATAATACAACTTAAATATGTTTATTGTTTTTGCAGCAGCATTCTAATTATCTACTAGAATCACTTAAGATTTTAAAATGCCAATATTACATTCAGATCAAATTAATCCCTGGTTTTTGGATGACCAAAACCAAAATGAAGCATTTGTTGATTGGGAAGGAAATCAAGTGCGATAATTTCACTCATTTAATGAAAGTAAAGTATTTTGTAATTTTTATAGATCAATTTCCAATCAACATAACACTGAGAATTTAAACATAATCTGAATTTTATCCTTTTATTTAGGAAAGTCTTCAACTAAGATTTCCAGAAGTAGATGAAATTACGTATACTCTATTACCAAAGTAATCTTATTAATTAGCAATGGAATATAATTGCACTCAACATAATGAGGGAATCCAATAAATTGATTTAATTTTTATGGAATAATCATTTAAGAATAATCCTTTACATTTAGATGAATTAAATTAAATTAGTATTAGGTATTATAAATATTGCTAAAACCCTCATACAGCACTAATTGATTTTAAGAATATGGTAGCAGTAATATTGATATACATTACTACCACTTGTAGCTCACTGTTTTGTATTAGAAAAGTTTTTACATAATTTGAATTTACTCCAACTAAGTAATTATTGACACTTTTATTGTTTCCTGCTATTGGATCATTTTTTGTTTATCCAAAAACAATATCATTTATTCTAGCTTTTATAGTGTTATGCGATTTTATTTATTATGCCTCAAAATCATTGATTATTAGCATAATAGTATCCTTGATTATCTTATATTTTCAACATTATATTATTGAGTCTACTCAAATTGAATAAGTTTTCTTTAATGATTTATTTCATCAAATACTTCCTTGTATTGTTACAGTTTTATTGCTTATATAAGTAAATCGAGTAATTATAGAATTAAATATTATAGCGCATAATCATTGCCAATAAATTTTAACTATTTTTATTTTTTTGCATAATTTGGCTAACTGAAATTTATTCTTTGGTTCATAGAACACAAGTCGATAAACACTTGCTAATTCAGAATTCCTAAGAGATGTCTGGTTCTATAAAAACAAAGTTTTCATTTTTAATTGCAAACGATCATACCTAATGGCAATAAAAGTAATATTTTGAAATTAATTAGAAATATTGATATCCATTTATATTAATTAATTGGGTTATCATTAATACAATCTTTCATTTTTCGACATGGACTATTCAATAAAGAACATATTGTAAATATTATAATTATTGGTATAACCTAATTTACTGGATTGATATTGTTTGATTTGCTATATCGCTATAAGCACAATCCTCCGTTCTTAACACTAATTACTGGATTTATTTTACTTGGAATGATGTTAAATTATTTAAGAACTGGTTCAGGATTGAGAAATCCTTATCTTGAATTTGAGTAAATAGAAGAAAAGATTAAGATATGAGTTTTATAATTTGAAAAAGTAAAATTAATTATTTTAATCTAAATCAATTATGAAAAGATTACATTTGAAATTAAATGTTAATATAATATATTACATAGAAATTGTTTCAAATTGGGCCTTATTCATATATGGTATCATTACAGCAAAAGATCAATTTAGCAGAGAATTAGTATTATTATTCAATTTATAACACATAAATGAATCATAATCCTTAAATTTCATAGTAGATGGTCTTTAATTTCATCAATTAAATCTTTTAGGCGCTTCTTCATCAGCTTCTTTTTGTCATGTTCTTTAATCAAGAAATTGATTATGGAATTAATCCACTTAATATGTATTTTTATCTAGTGTTATATAACTATTGGTCTTTATTTTATTTAGACTACTATTTTTCTTTCAATTAATTCAAATCTGTAAGCACACTTGCATTTGCTGAATTTCAACAATTAAAGAATTAAGAGATAAAGAAAATTAATATTAATCAAGTTTATAATTCGTAACTTACTTTTTAAATTAGAATATATTACTCAGAATTCCTGATATTTTCTTATTTATATTTCTTTTGATCCCTCATCATAAGTGATTAAATATTCTCCATCCTCACTTAATTGTCCATAAATAATAATACTATTAAATTCAATAGATTATTATGTTACAAAATCACCATTATCTTTTATTCTCATTACATTCACAAAATTGCCATTCTTATTCACAAGGAGAGATTTTGACTTTAGATATTATTATTGAAATAAACAGCAACACCTTTCAAAACTGCACTTTACTTTATATTCTTTAAACTTCCTAAATTATTTAGAATTAGTATCCATCTCATATATATATAATTCTTCTTTACAAAATGGTTAAAATGCAAATAAGTTATCATTAATAAAACATAATCGCTATCCATATTAATCAACTTTTATTTTTTATGTAACACTCCACAATTTATCCAACTTAGAAATAATAAAAATTTGTGAATCTTTAGAACAAGAAATCAATTTATTTTATTATTCATTTAATGATAATGAATAGATTGTTTCAGAATGATCAGATATAGTTTATTAGCACAGCCATTAATTCTATTTCATCCAAAATTTGATTTTTTTGTCATAACTACCTGAAATAATCATATCATCAGTATTATTTAACAATACACAAAATATAGCACTTGAATGTCCATTTAAACAGTATTAACAATTCCATTAATTCTCTCCAAAAGCCTACT